TAAACAGGAAGGCCAAAACTAAACTATATATATATTTAGTTTTAGCCTTCCTGTTTACTTGTTTAGGCTGTTTATTCCAATCTCACCCAGCCTATTGTTTCCAATCATGCTTGCATGAAATTCTAACTTTATAGAAATTTTATAGAAGTAGAAATGTACAAAACAAGACACGATGCAGTACCGTAATGCCTCAACAGATTATTAGCAATAATACAATAATTATGAAGACGATTATGAACGCCGCGTCGCACTGTTTATGTATGGTTTTGGAGGCTTATTTGGCATCAATGCCAGATACCAACTGACCACTGGATTTACAAATTTTTAAAAATAAAATATTTTAAAATAAATTAATACATAATTAAAATTTAATTACAACTATATAATTGTTCTAGAAAATAAGTACAGTTTCATTTAGTGTGAAGATGGGTAAAATGTGAATCGTTCAGGGAAGGAGGGAAATGAAGAAAGAGATGAATTTAAGCTATTTTGAATAGATAGAGGTTAGATTTTATTTGTAGTTTAAATTTGATGTGTCTTGTAATCATTTGGGAGTGAAAGTCCAAATAAATATCGTTACTATCACTATTATTATTATTATTATTATTATTATTATTATTATTATTATTATTATTATTATTATTATTATTATTATTATTATTATTATTATTATTATTATTATTATCACCATCATTAATTGGTGACTTCAAACTGCCTCTATAGTTGCACAATCTTCTTAATAATAGCTGAAGACGGCAACCTATCTATCAGAATAACTACGCGTACGCCGATGAATCTTAGTTAATGGTAGTAAATGTCATGTAATGTATAGAAAATGAGAACATTAACTTGATACATGGGAGTTAACACCGAAGTAGGTTCGTAGTGAAACGGATATGTCTGATATTTATAGAAAGCATAAATTAAATAACTATGTTTAATTGTAATAATTATAGGATATGTGTTTATAAACTTGGAAATTGTGTAAACAAGTGCATCTTAAGGCCTGGTTTGCATAAAATCGCTAAAAACTATGATCGTCAACAGCTTTTGTTGGCCTGACGATGACTAGTCATTCAATTCGAATGGACCTTGGATATTGTTGCTATCAAAACGACAGACGCTGAAAACATACGTAAACATGTGCGTTTGTGGGCCACACGATGCTTTTAGAAACGCGCGTATTCCTGGCCGTGTTCTGGTTGGTCAGGTGTTAAATTTGATTGACGTTCCTGAAAGGTCCATTTATAAGAGCCTTCCAGATTGCGTGGGGCACAGCTGTAGTACGCAATGTAACAATTACAGAGAAAACACTGTAGGGTTTCGCGGTGGCGCCAGTTGGGAGTGGGGGGGGGGGTAGGCATTTGCCCTCCCGTCGGACAGGTCTCGACCCTTTGTCGTTGGACGCCACGACTAGGTTGTCCCCGTCCTCTGACCCATCTGTGCCCATGGCTGCATGAGAGTCCAACTTTCTCACCTCCTCAGCCCCAACATGGTTGGAGCTGGTACAACATCTTGCGAATATGGACCACTGTGTGCCCGGAATTTCGCTCTCATACCTTATAATCTTACCAATAATTCACGTCAACAATGTAATACACAAATTATTATTCTTAATACAATTTAGGGGGGTGCGATCGCACCGTCTGCGCCCCCTGCATCTGCTCCAGTATGATACACGTAAGCCTATCTAATATTATTCGTTGCTTTATTTGGGATACAGTACCCAGCAAGTAGGAAAAATGACATCATGAAGCAAACCCATTTAAAACAGGATATTCTCCCCGACGCCTAAAGTGGATTAACATAACTCATTGTTTGGTAATTACGGCGGTAATACTGTTCATGTCAACGATCATAAGCGATGAGATGGCTTACAACATTGATATTTCATGCAAGAGTTACTGTATTAGAACGGGCGTGGTCGGTGAATACGCTAAAGTGTTTTTTGGGAGAAGTCATTTGGCTTTTTTTGGTTTTTTTTCAAATTACATTTTAAATGTTTGATAAGGCCTACTAAAAATGCGTCATTTGACAGGTTTTTTGCATGAATTTCGGGCTCATATCCAGGGGATGAGAAGGTGTGTATGGACCTCCAAGGCTCCAATATCCCGCCAATGTCCACATTTTTTACACATTTGAAAATGTCTAAAAATACTATAAAATTTATTTGCTAGTATGGACAGTCCCATTGAGTCTATGTACACTGGATTACGGAGCTGGAATTGATTTACCATCAGAATCGGGAAAACCTACAATACGCCTACCTAAACTTCAATCCTACCGGGTCTACCCCTGACCCCACCCGAGATTCTATATCCGATGCCCATACCCCAGTTGGTCCATTTTTGCACACCCCAATAGTAATCCCTTAGATGTACTACTGTATTTTGATAGTTTTGAAAATGTAAATATTAGATATTCATTATTTCAATCATTCATCCACACCCACCCACCGACAGCTTGACTAGAACGATGGGTGAAACAGGCCAATTAAATCTGCTTTTGCCCAGAAACACTGTAGCCACCGTGTACCGTAGCGATTTTAATATAATTTAATATAAAATAATTACACAGGTTTTCTGTACATCTAGTGAATTTCCTTGAATAAATCACATAATCTTCAACTGGGTAATTTAGTATGAACAGCTTGCTTTAATGTTCTAGGCCTATATTGTATTATTATGAGCGACAGCAGAAAAATAACACGAAATAATAGTCAATATTTTAAATTTTAGTGTAATCATTCGTAATACTCATGATTCATGGGTTTCGCAAAATTCACGCTACGTAGTGTGCAATAACGCCGTGCTAGATATTTGTTTCCGCACGTCCAAATAACAATAATTATGAAGGTTACTCCTAGCCCGCCTATGCCACAGGCACCCTGCTGGCGACAACAGTCCTTTGCAATTATCAATATTACACGTACGTAATGTTATGCAAAGGAGCTTTTCCCAATCAAGAATCGTGTAAATTAGACAACAAAGCTAAATTTAACTTTAATATCACACTGACAGATGGGTTCTATCATTTTCTCAGTCCAATTATAGTTCACACGACGTTTTTCCCATTGTATACCTTTGAAATAATGAACATAAAAATACGATGGCATTGAACAGAATCGCTAGAAAACTCAAATGTTTATTCCTGACATATCATCAATGCACTGAAACAAACAAGAACAAACTGTAATCTCTGTTTTGTCTTCACTTTAATTTTTACAATCTTATCCTTTTGGAAACAATTTTTACTAATATCCCTTCACAGCCCCTTCTCATTTTCGAAGGCATGTATTTCACGACCACTAATCAAAGGTATAAAGTCATTAAATTTTAGACAGCACAGAAAACAAAGTAATTCGTTATTTTCTGTTCCTATTTCTACTGCTAAAGATATATTTTAAAGAAATATTTTTAAATACATATTTTCTTTGGCAGTAGAAACAGACCCTGTCCGCAGTGGTGGCGCTAGCGAGGGGCGGGGGAGGGGGTGTTATTTGCCTCTCCAAAAACGATATTTTGATTGCCAATACATAATATTCTGGTCTAAAAAACACAATTTTGGGTCATAATAACTCTCCCATAAACTGTACTAGGAATTTTTATTCCAGGACACAGGCTGACCGCAGAGGCACTAGTCGGCCCATTGGTTCAGACCTCGCTGTCTGACACCCTGTGTCGGTAAATTTCTGGAGCCACCTCTGCCTGTCCGATCACTGCATTCAGCTTAAAAATATTAAAGTTTTACTACAGTATCAGTGGCGGCGCTAGCGGGGGGTGGGGAGGAGGGCTTAAGCCCCCCTCCCCACCGGACAGGTCAAGCCCCCCCCTCCCCGCCGGACAGAGCTCGTCGGGCAGACCATAAATCATATAAAAATAGGCCCACACCAAGCCAACACATGTCTGTCACAGTCTGAGAGTGCCATTTTCGGCCATCCAGAGGTTGATATTCTTTAAAAAAAATCTCATTTGGGAGTGGAAACCTCCTCTCAAACCCTTCCTCCAGCTCGAGCCTACGAGCTCAAGTCCCCCTGTCGGACAACTTAGCGCCCCACCCCCACCAGAAAATATATCCTAGAGCCGCCACTGTACAGTATGTATGCATTAAAGATGATACAACGTTTAATGGAAAATGAATTAAACATAATCAAAATAATCTGTAGACTACCAAAGTAAATTACCAAAGTAAATTGGATTAACATTCACACCAGCTGACCACCACCACCAGTCAATTGGAGAGGTTTCTAATTTCTGTAATTTAGGGGAGAAGAAAACGTGCGGCTGATTGTCATGGAGAGTAATTCCCATATAAAATCAATATGGTAATTATATTATGTAGGTCAGCATGCCCTTTGGGTGAAGCAAAACCAAAAGCAGGAATAAAAAAATAGCATTAAGTAAAATTAGAGAAGGGATCATTTCAATTCATCAAACAACGTGAAGTAAACAAAACAAATGAAGAGGTCAGTTTCAACTTTAGTCATGCAGGAATGTTTTTTATTTATTTATTTCTAAGTTTAAATAGTGCCTTTCTTTGCACTTTTTTTCCCTGGTCATTGTGTCCACATGTTTAAATGTTGGTACCCATTATTATTATTTCCGGGGTGGGGGGCGCCAAAGAAGCAATGAAGATAAATTTCCTTGCTAAATGGAAACAAGTGAAATTCACAGCGAGAGATTGAAACTGTGACCCCTTAGATGATTCATTTCAGTGAGACTGCATTATTCATCCTCATTCTGCTGTAGATGTAAACATCCTCAGTTGTCCATGCTGTGATTGGCTGGGATGCAGTGGATCCAATAATAACAATAACAACAACAATAATAATAACAATAATAATAACAATAATAATAATAATTAAAATTATAATAAATAAATTGGACTTAAGGGGAATACCTTTTGTGTTATTTCCCCTTAACATCGTTTTTTTAATTGTTCTCTAATTCCTCCATTGTCTCAGTTCCCCTTAAGGTAGGTTTTAGTTACATAATAATTACAATAACAACAATAATAATAATAATAATTACAATAACAACAACAACAATAATAATAATAATAATAATAAATAAAAGCATCATAACAATAATAAGTTTATCTATACAGCACATCAACCCAAGGCCTCTATGGGTTTACATTATTACCCCCTAATCATTGGATCACACACTATGGAACACATATTCAGCTCCCGGAGAGACCCCATGATATTGCAGGTAGTAATCAGAGCATTCAAACCTTTGACCTCAAGGTTGGGAAGAACAGCTATGCCAACCACTCCCACTAAATTTTTTGACATCCTCAATGATTGTTAATATACAATGAACCACAACATTATCACATGATCAAGTTATTAATGTTAAATTTTATGACAGTAGAGTCTATCTTTAAAGATGGGCATGCACTTTATATTGGCTGCGTATTTCATGGACACCCCGAACTGCGACGACATGCAACAGAAATATTTCAATGACGATCCACTCACACTGTGCCCGCTTAACAGCTATGCATATTTAATTTCAATACTTAAACATTAATTTTAAAAATAGAAAAATTCCCCCAAAACCGCTCGTTAAGTTGAATGCAAAATGAATTCCTAACAATTGGTGATATTTTAGTACATTATAAAATGTGTTATTTATTTCCTTTGTCCAGTCGGCATATAGCATTGTCATGTACCATCTGCAGGTTCACCTTATGGCCAACTAGTTCCCGGATGTTGTCAATTCCATACTTAATCATTGTTGGTCTGAAGTTAAAAAAGAAATTTTAATTTCAATTTACTGCCCATATCCCACATATTTGAAAATATCAATTTTGGAGAAGAATTTCTATTTTCTTTTTTTTTTTTTTTTTTTTTTTTGCTATACACTAATATAATATCACTTTGGTTTGTACACATAATTAAAATAGAACAGTAATTGTAAATGTGAGGATGAGTCACTGTGTTACTGGCTACTTTTCAAGGTAAATTTTTTTTTGCAGCAACACCGCCAAATATTTTTGTAATTAATTTTGTTTTTTTTTTGCAATTTCTCTTTTTTTATATTTATATTTGAATTTTGCCATGTTGTTTTGTAAATTAGAAAAAAAATTCAGAATTGTTTTATTTGTCTGCCTATGCTATGTTTTTTTTTTGTATATAAAATACATAAAAAAAAATTATATATGTTTTTATGTGTTTGAATAAAGTATAGCCACACACTTGCCCTCCAGCTGAAACACAAGGAAAGCATCGGATGGAATTGAGACAAGTACCAGTGGTTAACAATGGATCTCCACGGTTCAGCACACACAGTGGCTGGCTACCACCAGTTTAGCAGACTGAGCTACACAGCTCTCTAGAAAACATGGGGCTTTTCAGTTCTCCAAACATATGGAGAGCAGTGCTGGATTTGAGCCTGGAATATAATGACCTCAATGGTTCGGGGCGCACACAGACACTACCACCAGCTTAGCTGACTGAACTTAATATTTAAACAAATTGGTTCTGTTCCTATGTCTTTACAGCACAAGGGTGTGATGAGTAGCAATAGCACAAATAGAATCATTATCAGATCTCATCATTACTATTGACAATGATCATTGTATGACATGAACCTTAAATAAGTGATAAGACAGCCAAATATTTAGTTCTCTTGCAGTGATAAGAAAATGGAATCATTTGCCAGAAAATCCAACTCCTCGTTAAATATAAGCAGACTACTGTAGATTACTTACTAAAATATATGGGTTCGGAAAAAACCAGGCCTGTAACTATACCCGTCAAACCACAAGTGTAAGTAAATAAATGGCATTTTTTTTTTATCAACAACTACCTCCATTATATAAGATTTGCAATAGTCTGATTGATAGATTTACATTTCATAATTGACAGGTGTTAAAGTTTTAGAATCAACTTAATGATTGTGTGACATATTGTGATTGACATGGGTTGTTTGAGTGACATTGAAAGATTGACAAGTCTCAGCTCAAAGACATAATGTTTGCGCGAGACAGTTGCTTTTTTATGGGGTGCGGGCAAAGACAGTGGCGATGCCAGCGGGGCGGGGGAAAGGGGTGAGAGGATGTATTCCCATCAGACAGGCCTAGACACCCTCCCTTTCTGATGCCACTACAAGGTTGTTGGACCAAAAATATTAATTTCCCTATCAAAGTAACGGTCTTTTGATTGTCAATCCTTAATACTGTATTTTGGGCCATACTAAGCCATAACAACTCTCCCATTAACCCAACCAGGGATTTTATATTCTGACTGACTGAGGCTCCAGTTTTCCCCTTGGTTCAGACCCCATGTATTTTGTCTGACCCTAGCTGCAAATTTCAGGAGTCACCACTGGTGCGGAAGCTCCCAGATAAAGCACATTCTACAATTGAGTGGTAACGAATTTAATAATTGTAGTACAAAAGTTTGTAAGCCAGCAAAAAATTCATTTCAATTTGTGTTAAATTGGAGTTGATATCTTATTTGATATATGTTGTAACTGAATTTTTTATGGTGTTTTTTCCTGACTTTACTATAAACAGTGTATTTTTAACGTAGAGCGATTGACATCATGTAATATACAGTACAAGCAACAACCGTCAGAATGGCGCAATATAAATGGAATGATTGATTGATTGAGTCTCTATGGTAAATACCTAGAGTTGAAGTAAAAGCAATTTGACTGAATCTGTAACAACATACAAAACAAATTTAATTTATAGTTTTATTTATTCAAGCAAGAGACCCCAGATAATGACAGACACCCTTGGGAAGATGTCCCGTGGTGTTCCAACATCTCTGGGTGGAAGACATTACTGCTCCCCAGCATAGAGCCTTAAATTGACTAGTTCTACTAAATTTAGGATTTAAATATCTGTATATCAGAAAAAACTTTAAATCTGCATTTCAATGGAGGTTGATAACAAATTGGATTAAATTCTAAAATGAACAATTTTAATGCTGTAATTGACTAATTGAGGGGGTTTTATACTTTACTACAGATCTTTAATGAATGGTTTATTGACATGCAATAAATGAATGATTGATTGAAATGCAATAAATGATTGATTGATTGATTGATAAGTCTCAGTAAAATATTGTTTGAAGGTTTGCATGGTAAAGTGATAATATATTAAATGCTTGCTGAAAAACACCTAGATAGTTCTACTGAAAACTATCTACACACCTAAATAGTTCTACTCAGAACTATCTACACACGTAAATAGTTCTACTCACAACTATGTACACACCTAGATAGTTCTACTCAAAACTACCTACACACCTAGATAGTTCTACTCACAACTATCTACACACCTAGATAGTTCTAATCAAAACTACCTACACACCTAAATAGTTGTACTCACAACTATCTACTCACAACTATCTACACACCTAGATACTTCTACTCACAAATATCTACACACCTAGATACTGTAGTTCTACTCAAAACTATGTACACACCTAGATATTTCTACTCAAAACTATCTACACACCTAGATAGTTCTATTTAAAACTATCTACACACCTAGATAGTTCTACTCACAACTATCTACACACCTAGATAGTTCTACTCAAAACTATCTGTTGATGTTCTAAATATAAGTTTAATTGTTGGGATACTGACCATCTTAAATTATGTAATAATGTCATTGCACATACTGACTGTTTTCATAATACTGTGTTGAACACTTCAGAAAACGAAAAAAAAAAAAAAAGAAGATATTTTACTGACCTTTCTTTTACCTCTATGTAAACTTTTATTCTTTAAATAATAATCACATTATA